CGCTAAATCAAACTTTCCGTTAGTTTCACTCAATTTAGCAAACTAGTTCACTATTTTGAGCGTGTTTCCGTTAAATTCTGCACCAAATGGTACATGGGGTTTGTTTATATTAGCTCAGCCTGTGTCCTGCCGCCACCGCGTGTGTTGTTCACTGCTACCTCTCAGTCAACTAACTACTGTACTGTGCTTAGCCATCATACCGAAAGTCACTCAGAAGTCTCAAAAAGGAAGTGGAGCAGGGGAGAAAGTCAAAAGAGTGGCTATCAATTGGAAAAAAGTGTAGAAATTATTTTAAAAATTTAAACATTGAAAACAAATACCGAACCCCCTAGTTTAAGGTAGGTATCAATAATGTTTCTATGTACATATCATGTGCCTGAGGTGTCTCAGTAGGTGTGAGCATATTAAAGGAATTAATCTTGATGTAGCGAACTAGTTCACTAAATTGAGCAGAAAATTTCCTTCCGTTAAATCGAGAGTACAGTATACTGTACTTGACTCGTATATCAAAGGCGGGTTTGAGTTTGCTAGTTCCCGAGATTTGTCAGGCTATATATGATGTGTTGAAGGATGATTACATGAAGGTAAGAGATTGCAGCTAAGAAGGATATACAGCTGCTCCCCGACTTATGACAGGGTTAGGGACCCAAATCCAGGTCGTAAGTCGAAAATGCTTAAATAATACATAGAAAATCTAAAGTGGGTGTCTCTTTTTCTTCTCAGCACCACAAAACTCTCACTTTTAAGCTTGCCAGCCATTTTAAAGTGAATTACAAACGAAAATTTTGTCAGTACACAGCGCAATCATTGACGTTGGGACTCAAAAATACGTAACTTGACAAAATTTTGGTACGACTGAGGCGGTCGTAAGTCGGGGAGGAGATGTTTAATAATTTGTATGAGACTTAATTCAGATTACACAGCCAACATAAAATGAAAAATATTTCTACGGTTAATTTTCTCTGAAAAACCTTAGTTACCCTTAATATTTTTAAATATAGGAAATAGTTTACTTCAACTATTACTTATAATACGTGTACAGAATAATTTCAAATTTTCCCATTTCATGTCTTCAACAGACAAGACGCATACTGAGGGGTGCCATGACGTGCGGCCCTCGTGTAACAATTACCCAATATCTCTAGGTCACCGGGTGCCCCTGCTTTTTACAATGACACCACGCACATTTTTGTGCACCGTGTAAATGAGACTTAATAATCTTGCTTCTACCACACAGAGTCAGACACTACATGTGCTGCCCCTCCTAGGACATTCACTTTAATCAACTTAAGACATTATTCTTATAATGTATTTGCAAACACCAAGTCTAACAATCTCCTATCATCTCCATTACCTAGCCTCTAAGTAGACTTCTGAATTTCCTTCCTTTTGAACCATGTAGTCCCTACTATCAACCATCTCTCAATACAGACAGTACTCCTTTTTATCCACCTCCATCCATTTCCCTTTACTCCTAGCACTTCATACACACACAAATACAGTACAGCTACACTGTATACCAGTATGATACACTAGTAAATAACTAAAAAAAAAAAGGGTAATAAAGTTTCAAGTACCGGTATACTGTACACCATGTACAGTATTGCATAAAATATGCTTTAATACATCAAAATGTAAAAAGGTCAGAAATAATGGCACGGCTTGCATCAGCGACATTAAACTCAAGACCGCTCCATGCATCATTAGGCATGTCATTCTGGCATTATACAATACATGTATAGTACAGGTATATTACTGTACTGCACAGTATACATAATTGCAGATTCAATCAAAGAAAATGAGCCAAAGATAACCTTTCCCAACCTTTAACCCTCAGAGCCATTGGAAGATCACCAGTGTATATCACCCTTAGCATGGCTTTGCTTATACAGTACCCTGTATGTACAGTACATGTAATACAGTACTGTATTACAAAAAAAATGGTTGTCTTTCATCTGATTTTTGTGAATCATTTTATTCTTTAGGGGACCCTAATATGTACTTTAGTATGCTAACTAAAAATACTGTACAGTATTTGTATTTTCCCTAAAAAACACAAGCTACTACTCTGTACTGTATACATGTATATAAAACAAAGCAGAAAGTAAAAGTAAAGAGAGAGAGAGAACCTTTTCTCCTTCCCTCCTTGATAGTTCACTCACTCTGTTACCCAATTTTTCTTCTCTTCCTCATACTCCTGTGTGAGAAGAAATAGGAGAGATAAAGAGAGGAATTCAGATTCTCTTTTCTTCTAGGAAGTAAACTACACTACTGTCATTCACATAAGGTAAATATAGTAACCCAGATGATCCACCCAGGAAAGGGTAGGGTTAGTGGGGCTTATTTATATAAAAATCATTGAAAGTTAAAAAAAATTCTGCAAGAATTATTTTTTAACTACAGTATTTCTTTTAAGAATTTAGTAAACATAGCAAGTGAAAACAATTAGTTGGGGGATTTTTGTGAGCATTACATCCGTGGAGAATACAACCCAAAGCGCATTTATTTTGCCAAAATATTAAAAAACTAAATTAATGTATTAAATTTACCAATCTTTTTAGGAACGTCTAGATAAATATGACTTGATACCCAAACAATATATAAAAAGCCTGTATTCACACTAATAAGGGTGTAATAGTTGAAAATGTACTGTACATGTACTGTAGTGTACATATGAGGATTCGAGAATTAGTTGTGAATTACATACCAAAGCCACTGTAGTGGCTTTGGGAACTTTACAATGCTGCACCACAATAAAGGCTGAGAGCAATGAATGGATGGATCAAGGGAACTTTAGCAAAATATCAGAATCTACACCTAGTATATAGGATAGATACTGTAGCCCCTTACTTCACAAAGGTTCCATTGTTTACAATGAAATTTTTAAATCCATGGGGTCTGTCTGAACCTAATCCCACAAAGTAAGGGGGATGAAGTATACAGTACTGTACAATATATATATATATACAGTACTGTATACTGTACAGGTACCTGCACACACACACAGAGTTAGGTATAAAAGTCATGACACATCAGCTTAATATCTTATTTTATATTTAATTGTTATTTAATACCTTATACAGTATTAAGACATTATCAAATGGAAAACTGAATACAAATGAGCAAGTACTGCAAAGCATAGTTTTTTTTACAATACAGTTGTACCCCACTTAACGCGGTCAATTGAACCCAGAGGGTCCCGCGTTAAGTGAAATCCGCGTTAAGTGAACAACAGAACATATGGGATTAATTCCAATAGAAACCGGCCTGACCCCCAAACTCCACTTTTTGAAGGCACATACCTATGTTGTAGTAAAAATAACATCTTAATTTTATGATGGTACATGCACACAATTAATACTTAAGAGAAATACAGTTGCCAAGTTAATGTCCATTCAAATAATGGACTCAACTCCCTCCCTCTCTCACACTACACTGGCTGGCTCTTCCCTCTCAGAGAAATTTTTGGGGGAAAACCACTAAATTTTAATAAATAATACCTCAAACTAAAGTTAGGATAATACAATTGACATTGCTGGATTCCTTGTAAGACCAGGAATATTTTGAATATAAATGTCATATATTTTGCACAAAAGATAACATAGTTACCTAGAGAAAAATTTTTATCTAAAATTTGTATGTTTAATGAAAAATATATGATGTTTATATTCAAAATGATCACCAAATTATAAGAATTCCAGCAATGTAAATTATATTCTGACCGGGTAATTTGTATGAATTTTATGAGCTAAAACAAATATCTTCAGTTAATAAAAAAAAAATAATCTTCACAACACTATCTGTCAATCAAAGTACCCCACCTTGCCTCCCCCCCTCTTCCAACCGCGCGGTCAGTCCCAACCCTCCCCCCCACCCCCCACCAATCCTCCCTTCCAGGGTTTTTAACATTTAGTATTAAATAATACCTCAGATTAAAGTTAGGATAATATAATTGACATTGCTGGATTCCTTGTAAGACCAGGAATATTTTGAATATAAATGTCATATATTTTGCACAAAAGATAACATAGTTAATTTGAGAAAAATTTTTATCTAAAATTTGTATGTCTAATGCAAAAATATGATGTTTATATTCAAAATGATCATCAAATTATAAGAATTCCAGCAATGTAAATTATATTCAGACCGGATAATTTGTATGAATTTTATGAGCTAAAACAAATATCTTCAGTTAATAAAAAAAAAAATAATTCTTCACAGGGTAACAGATGGTTGGTCGGTCCCTCCCTCCCCCCCACCCCCCACCAACAGTCCCAAGGAGATGTGTGGGATAACCACTAAATTTTAATAAATAATACCTCAAACTAAAGTTAGGATAATATAATTGACATTGCTGGATTCCTTGTAAGACCAGGAATATTTTGAATATAAATGTCATATATTTTGCACAAAAGATAACATAGTTAATTTGAGAAAAATTTTTATCTAAAATTTGTATGTCTAATGCAAAAATATGATGTTTATATTCAAAATGATCACCAAATTATAAGAATTCCAGCAATGTAAATTATATTCTGGCCGGGTAATTTGTATGAATTTTATGAGCTAAAACAGGCAGTCAGGCAGGGTGGGGCAAATCTAAAAATAGCGTCTCGAGCCGGACACTCACCGCGTATATGTGGAAAAAATCCGTGTTAAGTGAAAGTTCAGCTCTGGCGAGGCACCGCGTATATGATAAAACGCGTTAAGTGAAACCGCGTTAGGCGGGGTAATACTGTATGTAAAAATAAGGCAATACGTCCCACGCAATGTGTTAAAAAATCACTCCTGCAACCTTAATGAAGTCCTTTGTCGAAAAAAAAGAAAAATGATAATGTGTTGAAATCATGTGACCTGACCTTTTTCCCACCATACCTTTACTTTTAACACACACACAATGTATATGCTACTGTTGTATTACTATACATACTGTACAACCAAATACAGTATATATTACAATACATGTACTTATACTATGTAACAATAAAAAAAAAATTCACCCTTTTCTTATATTGCTGTACAACTGCTCCTTCTGGAATATCCATTCTCTGTAAAGATAAAGAAAACAGAATTAGAGATATTGTATATGTCATTATTTCAGTAATCAGTTCAGCATTTAATGTAAGGAGTTCGACGAAGAAATTTCTTCAAATAATTTCACAAGGCTTGACTCTTTCATCCCACCTCCTCATATAAATGTCTCTAATTTATCATTTGTTTTGAAAGTTTCATCTGTTCCTTCATATATATAATGACTATAAAGTTTCTGGTAATGTAACATGACTAGCCAGATATTTTTCCTTCCCACTCCATTATACTGTATTTATTTCCTGTAATCTGATTGATTAACCAACTGTAAAATCACAAATGCTACTTTTCATGGAATTTTTTTATTTTAAATACTGTACATTAAATGAGTTGGGAAGTATAAGACAGTGTTATTGTTAAATCTTTGCCAAGGGATTCTGATGCCCAAAACTGAAGGTGTTTGAAGCAGAATGTTTTAACTGTACAGGATAGGTTACAAAAAGGGAAAACACATGGGCACTACCATACCAGTATGCCCTCATTAGGCTGAAGGTAGATGCATGGTGATTACACAATTGAGCATTGTATAGTACTTTAAGTATAGCTCCTCAGAACAGTAGCTAATTTTGAAAGTAATATTTACAGAACAGGGAAACCAACAAGATATACATCATTATAATTATCACCACCCTCTGCATGAATTCCCATTTACATCACCTACTCTTTCACAGCCAGCCCTCAGGACAAGTGATTAAAAGTTTAATAAAAATAAATAAAAATAAATGATTTAATGTTTTCTGTGAAGAAACAAATACTGGACCTAAATATTTTGATAATCTGAATATCATTCTTAGCAGGGGCGTATATTCAGGGTATGCTAGGTGTGCACAGAAGTCATGAAATAATGATTTAATACTTTTATTTAATGTAAATAAATATACATGACATTTTACATGTATTAACAGTGTTAACCTCAACTGTTGTTTCTTGGCTTTCCTGTTAGCTTGCTAATAGCTGCAGAGCCTGCAGTTGAGCGGAGCTGTCACCGTACACTTTGGGTAGTACCGTACCAGAAGGGAGGGGATGGGGGTACCGAGGCGGGGAGGGATGGGGGTTTATAGCGAGTGAAGTCGAGCAACCAGCCCGCAGCGGAGGAAGTGTTGCTCCGTACTTCGTTTCCGTTTACTGTGAATGTGAAAATATACTTCTTTGCTTTGATTTACAATTATTTTTGTTTAATATGCACTGCTAATATATGTACACTTCTACAATAATTTTCTTCTATTTTGCATTTCTCTATGCTGTTTATATGCGTAGTATACTACAGGTTGTACCTCTCTAGTCCGGCAACCTCGGGACCTGACCGGTGCCGGACCATGGAAATTCACCCTTTTCCTGGATAGATAGTGACTTGTGCTTATGCTTGGAAGCACTAGCACCACTTTCTCTGCATCATGGTCTCTTTGAAGACATATTGAAGGGTTAAATGTCGTATAGTAGCTTCTCAAATTTCGCGAGTTTTTAATTCTTAACGTATTTTATTGGAACACACAAAAAAATAAATAAATAAAAATTTTGACGGTGGAAACTTGAATTTCGACGGGTTTGAACGGCCCGCCAACATGCAGACGACGTGCATAATTGTGTAAACAGCGTCATTTCTCTTATGTACAAGAGATTCATTATTGTTAATTACTGAATGTCTTTTTTATTTAATTAATGTTTATGTGCGCAAAATGAGCAATACAATTCATTAATAATAAGTAGAATATTAAAACGCACGAGGAAATGACAGCATTGTTTTCGTTGATTACAAAGCCAGTGACTGACTGGTTCTACATATAAAACTGAAGAAAATAAGACCTTGGCTGTAGCTGTAGTAAAATTAATATGAATGTTTTAAGTAATGTTACTTAATGTTAATAAATGGAACAATAGAAGTAGCTAACGATAATGGTAAAGAAAAAAGAGAGATCGCGTATTTAAGTGCGCATGCGCACACGTGAAAACATATCGTCATTACTTTACATAAGAATATGAAAGCAACACTTATTTACTGTTCATATATATTTTAATTAATGTTTCTGAATTTGTTTTTATTGAATTAATGTTTGTGTGTGCAAAATTAACAATACAATTTATTTATAATACGTGGAATATTAGAGACGAGACGGCTGCCGGCATTGTTTATGTTAAAGCTAACAAAACCAGTGACTGATTGGTTCTACATATAAAACTGAAGAAAATAAGACCCTGATTTTAGCTGTAGTAAAATTAATGTAAAAAAATTAATATGGTTGTTTGAAGTACCTGTAATGTTATTTAATGTTAATAAATGGAACAATATAAGTAGCTAACCATTAATGGTAAAAAAAAAGTGAGACTGCGTGTATGTAAGTGAACACCCACGTGAAAACATATCATTACTCTACATAAGAATATGAAAGCAACACTTATTTACTGCTCATATATATTGAAGGGTTAAATGTTGTACTCTGTATAGACAAGCAGAGAGAGAGAGAGAGCAGCCGAACTGCCGGATGTAAACAAACCTTAATTTCCTGCGTTTTTTTTTAAGGGGATTAGCCCACCCAGGCATAGGTCACTGACCCACATTGGGGCCTGAGGGGCAAAAATTTAATACTCCTGTAATAATAATAATAATTCAGTTAAGTGTTAAAAAAAAAAAAAACCCTGCCTATCTACCTGTTGGATAAACTAAAATCGTTCCGGACCACAGAATGCCGGACTAGAGAGGTGCAACCTGTACCTTTTATAAGTACATACAGTGTATGTCATTTATTTTATACAACTTAAAGTTTAGTCTTTACCTTCTTATAATGCTCAGTACACCCTGTTTCAATACCCACCATACGCCACTGATTCTTAGTGAAAAAGGGATAACTAAATGGGCCATGGTTCTTCTAAACATGGCAAACACTATGGTAAATGACCTCAACCAATCTAAACAATTTTATTAAAAAAACATCATAAAATTAGGACACATTTAAGTTGGTTTATTTTAAATTTTAGTGGAAGGATAGTGTACCCTTAACATGGTCCCATTAAGGAAGCATGGGTGGAAATGAGAATGGATGGTGGGAAGGGGGCTACTCTCTGCAAGCCCACTGCTAAATAAGCACTTCATAATTTAATTTTTTACCAGTATACCCTGTACTGTATTAGTTTTTGTGATGCAGGTTTTCTTTACAAAAACATTATGTTTGCACAGCACACAATACAGTACAGTATGTGACTTGTGCAAGGTAGCTATTCCATGATAACTTTGTTCAAGCAGTGCACTGGCATTTGCAGTACTGTACTGGGTGCAGCTACAATGAAGCCCCCTTAACTGGGCATCAATGAACTAAAAAAAAAATAATAATAATAATAAATTAGTTTCATAGCCATCCAGTTTTTTTCTGAGTTATTCCGCATTCCTGACAACTCATGAGAAAATCCGGTTTGTCACAGTGATCCAGATAAAAATCTACACCACCAGAAGAGCTATGCAGTACTGTACAGAAACATCCCAAATTGCTAGTAAGCTGTTAAGTGGTGAAATAATAATGATGATAACAATAGTAGTAATAAATAGTACATTTGTATTCAATGTTCATGGAGTAAATATTAGTCTGTGCCTTAGATAAGATCAGTGCAGCTGTACACTATGATGAACAAAACACACCAGTTACCAATAAATAGTGTACACTATACTGTACAGTAGATTCACATTGAAATATTTTAATACAGTACAGTACTATATCTGGTGGGTTTGTATTTATAAAAAATACAAATGCACCAGATATTAAATGAAATGTGCACAAGTACTTTATATAGCTAAGCCTGGTGTGCCAGTAGTGCAGGGATTAAGCTGTTATTCGGTGTTCTAAACTGTTGCGCTCATGCCATAATTTTTCTTTTGTCTCATTCACCAACAACATATACTGTACAGTAAGTCCTCGTATAACGTCGTCCCACGCTACTCTCTCTTGGCTGGCGCGCTGCCCTCACTCACTGAACATCACAGCATCCCCAAGCGAAGCCGAGCCAGTCTTTGTTACGACTTCACATCATTCGTGTGTGCTCAAGTGCTTTTGCTCTAAAACTGTACTCTAACCATTCAAAATGGCTTCCAAGCACCCATCAAGTGTTACTGATGCTAGTGTAGTGAAGAAGCAACATAAGACCATTAACCTGGCTACGAAAATGGATTTATTAGCCCGTTTTGAAAAAGGGGAACGTGCTATGGACATAGCCGCTGTGCTTGGTCTAACCCCCGCAACGGTGCGTACTATCCGGACCAACACTGACAAGATTAAGGTTAGTGCTGGAAGTGGTACTACTCTCAGTGCAACTAAGACAACTCGTACTAGAAGCACTGTGATAGAAAGGGTGGAAAAGATGCTGGCTATGTGGATGGAGGACCAGAATCAATGCAATGCCCCTGTGAGCCTTATGGTTATCCAGCATAAGGCCAGATCCTTGTTTGATGACATGAAGGAAACAAGAGGGTGAAGGATCGAAGGAAGAGACCTTTACGGCCAGCCGAGGATGGTTTCAACGATTTAAACATTGTTATAACTTCCACAATATTAAGATAACTGGTGAAGCTGCCAGTTCAGATACGGTTGCTGCCGATACATTGCCAGAATTCAAACAGATTATCCAGGAAGGAGGCTACTCATTGAAGCAAGTCTTCAATGTGGATGAGACTGGTCTCTTTTGGAAGAGGATGCCTGAGGACCTATACCTCCAAGGAAGAGAAAACAGTGCCAGATTTTAAAGGGGCAAAAGATCGCTTGACGCTGCTGCCTGGTGCGAACGTTGCCGACGACTTCAAGCTGAAGCCTATGCTGATTTCTCGCACTGCTATCCAACGGGCCCTAAAAAGGTTTCTCTAAGGATCATCTTCCTGTCATTTACAAGGCAAACAAGAAGGCATGGATAACCGGCGCCATATTTAGTCAGTGGATAAACATGTAGCCGTCCCTGCAATGAAGGAATACTGTGCCAAGGA